CCCCCCCTTCATATACTCGTCTTCATTCCCTTTCTAGTATACCCCCCTTCATATATTTATCATTTATATTTGTCTAAAGCAAAATTACATTGAACAATATAAAAGTTTACAAACTAATACTCTTTTGTCTGGATATCGCATTTTAAAATTTACAGGGTTTGCCAAAACAGGTGCAATACAAGACTTTTAGCATGAGTATAGTTTAGCTATTCAGAGGTGGTTTTCAGAAAAGGGGTTTCTTGATCCCAGTCTAGTGTTTTTCGTTTTCTAAAAATGTGGTATGATGACAGTACAGCAAGGCTTGATAGATTTCCACACATTGCTTTGAAACTAACACTGGGTTTGCAGAACTTATTCAGTTTCTTTAGAATCGCCTTATTTGATGGTGAGATATATCCTCTTGAGCCGATTTCAAAAGGATGAACAGTCTTTATTCCCTTTCCAGAGTGACATGTCTCCAATTCAAAATTGGTTCTCTGTTAGTGTTTTAAAGGGATTTATCGTGAATTGGCCATGCCACTCGTTCTATGAAGGATATTATTTCTACAATTATAAAACAGGTCCTATAAATTATTTACTATTTGCAGGTTTAGGAGTCATTAATTTAGTCTACTATATTTCTATTTGTTGTAGGAGGTTCAGAACCCTAACCTAGTTAAAAACCTAGAGATTCTCAGATCAAAGGTAAACAGTTAGGAAAGATTAATCTTATAAAAAGTTTGTGAAAATTACATAAACAGATTAAGTTTTCATAAGATTAAAAATTATAAAAAGAATGAAAATAAGGAATAAAGTTAAATTATTTTGAAATGAATTCTGCAATCCTAAATTTAGTTTCTGAATCAAAAGTCAAAATTAGCAAGAAACAAAAAGTACATTTCATATCTTTCATACAAAGTACAAATTGTAAACAAACTATGACTTAGACAACTCGTCGTAGTCAGCATGCATCCCTTCTTGAAGATCAAAGTAATGATGTACGTTTCGATATAAGGGTCTGTCCTAGTGAACGATTTTTGGACCCCCCCCCTCCCCCCTCCTATAAATTTTGTACATGACCACTTTTTCAACAATTTTTAATTAAATTAGTATTTATTTAGGGTTAGGTTAGGTTAAGACACTTTCTGGGCCGAGCGCTGCGGCCACATGGTCCAAAAATTGTATATTGAGAAATTACCGAGAATAATATTTGCAATCTTGATCAGGCGTTGTTAAAACTTTTAATAAATTGAATTTTAACTCAGAACAAAAATAATAAGGGGTTGTCAACGCAACCTTCGATTCAATAAGTGCTATCATTTATTCACAACGATACAGTTAATATTTATCAGAAGCTCTAAATATACCAAGAGATTTTCTCCATCGGACTGAAAAACAGATATATAGATAGATCATCGTTTATCACAGGCTTTTTGGATTGTTAAAGGGGCTGTAAATCGGAATTTCAAGTTAACTTCCATCTAAAAAGGGGCATCCTAGATTGACAACGGTACCCTTTAAACCTTTGACTGATAATCGTGGACAGAGAACTAATTATGAATATCTCTGAAATACTTAGTAAAAAGCCGCAAACCTGAGTGTTCGCTAGCGTACTGTGTGATTTCAACGCGGCTGAAGTAACATTTATTTCTAGAAATTCCAGAAAATTATATTTTAGAATGTGAATATTTAATTTCTGCTAATTCTAGAAAGTAAATATCAATATTCCTTAAATAAGAAATAGCTTGCTATCAAAGTATCCAACAACTACAAGCGTAATTACAAAAGTAAAAGTCCGTTATCCGGCCTTGATCAATGAAAGGTTTAAAGTGTACCGTTGTGAATCAGGAATGTCCCTTTTTAAATGGAAGGTCACTTGAAATTACGCTAACAGTCCCTTTGTATTTTCTATATTTAGGTTGATTCTGGGAAGCCTAGATCTGGTTCAGTGGACGGTTTACTTTTTGGTCTAAGTCGGAGAAATCTAAACAATTTACGAATACGTGCGGATAAAGCACTGCAGACTAGTCGACTAGGACAGAAAACACCAAGTATAGATGAAGAACCCCCTAGACCATCCAGTAACCCAGAGAGACAAGGAGATGAAAGTAAAATGCTTGAAAAGGATAAAACTAAATGGGATATTATCAAGAAAACAATGTCAGAAGTGCAAACAGATCAAAGCGAGAGAAGTGTTCGTCAATCCAGCAATAGCAGTAGTAGACCTTCAAGCGCTAGAAGAATATCGTCTAAAATATCCAGAAACCGCAAAGAAAACCTTTCTGGATCATCCATATCTCCAGACACTGAAAGTCCCAAGGGATCAAATTTGAAGAAAAAATCCCTAAAAGTAAAAACTACTCCAAGCAGTAAAAAATTAAAGGATTCAGAGATAGGCAAAAAGAGTGAAAAAAAGAAAGCTAAAGTAATTTCAAACAAAATGCAGATAATTATTAAACCAAAGATAAAAATTAAAAAGTTGAAATTGGAGAATGAAGAGGAAAAATCTAAATCTATAATAACTGAAAAGTAGCATAATAAGCCCTTTATTAACTCTCCATTATTTTTCTCATTCAAACATTTTTATTTTTTTCAATTTCTCTTTTTTTATGTTCACGAATCCCCGTTATTTTTCAAACTTTTCTTCTTTTCCTTCTAATATTTTTATTTGTTTAAGAAATATGGTTATAAAATATAGATAATTTTTCGACATTACATGTATTTTATTAATTTCTTTTTTTATATATAAAATATGGTGTGTCTGTTTGGTTGGATATCCGATCTATTGCTCAAGAACCCCTGGACCGATTAGTCTCAACTTTTGATTGGGGAACTCGGTAGGACAACATGAATGTTATTAGCTTCGTTTGAAGTTCTAAGTTGAGTATAGGTTTGTAGTAAACGCCTACTCCATGACAATTTCTCAAAACGTATCTTTCCAGGTACAACCCGTCCGCTATCAATGTCAACCAGGACACGATCCACACGGCTACAATCCTGTGAACTATCAACGCCACTACAACTGGACGCGATCTCGTTATCCATCGGTGTCAATACGGCCACTAGCTATTCATCGAGCTCTAAATGCCACACAGGGACACAAGCGTAGCTATCAAATAAGCTTTTAATCAAGCTCTAAATGCCACACAGGGACACAAGTGTAGCTATCAAACAAGCTTTTAATCGATCTATATCAAATACCGAGGTATGATCCCAGCCCATATGTTTCAACGAGGACACAGTTTAGCTATTAAACAAGCTATTAATTGAGCTCTAATTGCCACACAGGGACACAAGCGTAGCTATCAAACAAGCTATTAATCGATCTATATCAATTACCGAGGTATGATCTCAGTCCGTATGTTTCAACGAGGACACAGTTTAGCTATCAAACAAGCTCCCAATCGAGCTCTTAATGTCACACAGGGACACAAGCGTAGCTATCAAATAAGCTATTAATCAATCTTTACCAAATACCGAGGTACAATCTCAGCCCATATTTTTCAACGAGGACGCAATTTTACTCTACACTTTAATCAAAGCGGAGTTTCTATATTAACTAAGGTATATTTCTTCAGTTTAGATTAGAATTTGGCCTGCTCACTAAGAAACAAATTAGAAATAGTTATTTTTACTTTCGAAAAATATTAACATATGATACATGCTGTTATATCCATTTTTCAAGGCCTAACAAAATATATAAGTCTTAGCCATGTAGCGTAATTAATAAAACAGTTATTACCATTTCTAATTTTTTGAAACACCGACCCGCCATTTGACCGTTCTCCACCCTACCCTATTCATAAAAAAAACTTGTTAGCAAAATTTGCTCACAACTATGATGATTTTTTAAAACGAATATAGAATTTTTTTCTTCAAAATTGTCATTCATTCAAAAAAAACTTGGTTTATATGAAATCAGTATTTTTTAGAGTTTGGTAAAAAAATAAATAAAAAATAACCATCATTGTTTCCTTCAAATTTTCATGAACTCAAAAACTCTCTGTTATATTTCTAACAAATTATATTTTTTTCCCCTAAACTCAGTCTACGTATTTATAACAGTATAAGATGATTAATCGTCTCAATATCAATAGGTGCAAGGGTTTTCTACAAATAAATTTGAGGATAAGGGAGGGAGGGATTTTTGATGGGGGGGGGCGGGGGTCTCAGAAAAAGAATAAAAAATAGAAATTACCGTGTGGAAAGGGGGAAGCAAAGAGGAAAATAGAAACTGAAACAGGGAATTGTGCACACGAGCTTGTATTGATAAAGGTTAAAGGGGAAACATTTCAGTGGGACCAATACAACTGTGGAAAAGGAAGACGATATTTAACAATCATGAGTATTTGATCTTGTTAAAAACAAACAAATAGTTTTACCAGTAGTTTGAAAATTAAATAAGTAATTTAAGTGGGCCTGTATTAACTAAACATGTGTTTCATGTTTATTGGACTATTTAAAATTACAGCTTGAGTGTAAAGTCGTCTTTATATTTCACTGTTTATGCATGAGGATGGAACTTTGGAAAGTACTTTAAGAGAGAGTTTACATAATAAAATACAAGTTACGCTTATAACCTCGCAAAAATAGATGTGACAAATCTTAAATCTTGTTTGTTGGATGAGCCTACATTTGAGGATACATTTGAGGATACATTTGAGGATACATTTGAGGATACATTTGAGGATACATTTTATAAATAAATTGGATTCTGTAAGAAATGTGGAAAAGGGTGATCTAATTTTCAAGAGGACGGTTCTCTAAAACAAAAGAAAAAGAAAAATTCATATTATCTTGGCCTTAAACTGGTGGTGGGGGGGGGGTTATACGTACAAGACATGTTTCTTATTCTATTTACAAAATATTGCGAATACAGTCTGTTTCTCAAGCATATTCACTATTTTTTCCTTTTTAAAAACAAAACCGGAACATCTAAAATCTATATTCACAAATAAAAATTATTTTTTTCCGTAGGAAATCTAAGAAGAATAAACATTTTACAAAATCCGATCCACAAACCCACTTTGCCTACTGCAGTTTATCTGACAAATTTTTGAAAATCTGTAGCTAGCTAGAACCTTCCGAAATAAACATGACTTTCTGATATTTGAGTGAATATTTCTCAAATCTAAATTAATATAGATATTATAAGTTCAAAGTTCAGGGATCGAAGTAATTTAAGATGTTCCGGCCGAAAGTCTGAGAAAGCTACTTCACACCGAATTCAATATCATCAAAAGGGAAAAACAATTTTTAATGATTACTTCAACACTCCATTTAAAATATGGTGTGTTGGATTTACAATAGTAAATATAAACCTATTTAGTAACAATACTAAGAAGATATTTTAGAAGTACATTTATTTCCTCTTGATGTAAATAACGAGTGTATTAAAGGAGAGGAAATTGAGTAGGTCTTCTCTGGGTCCAGAATCTAACGCAACTGATTTGCGGATTTCATAATCCTGGTTCGGGGATTTCTCCCTCTACAATATAGTAATCTTTCTATCTTAAAACTTTTTGATTTTTGAAAATGACCATGATCTTTTTTATAACAATAATCCACCAGTCATTTTTGAGAATACACTGTTCAAAGTAATCAATTTTATCGATGAAAAATAAAAACTCATGTAGACCTGAGCTGAAAACTTTAGAATGGGATATCCTTAATCTGGAAATTAAGAAAAAGAGGAAATCAGGCATTAATCTCGATATCCACCATTCTAAAGTTTTCGGCTCAGATCAAACTAGGGTTTAAAAAGGGTAGGGTTGTTAATTGAACATGCAACTTTACAATTGGAGGGTCACGTGAAATTACGTTAACCATCCTGTTAAAATATAAATATTAAAAGGAAGGTTAAAGAAATATATTACAGCTTAATAAAGTAGCACAGTTCGACAGGAACAAAGCTTTGCCATTTTGCATGCGTGTTTCATTTAAAAAAGGCCAAAAATTTACAATTTTCAAAAATGTTTATATCACTTGTTTTGTAATTTATTTTGTAATGTTTTTAAAATCTAGATTATAAAAAATGCACAGGTTGTAAATTGGAATATTTTGATATATGTTGTTCCTAATACAAAACATATTCACTGTTATAATTGAAAAACTATTTTTTTTGTAAAGATCATTATTTTATTTTATAATGTCTGTTTTCTTTGAGTTGAAAGTCATTTTTGACAAGTTAAAAGTTTTGCTTGCGTATTTGCTTTGATTAATAGGTTTTCTAGTTGACAACTTGACATTTAAACCATTCATAAATAGGTTTAATTATACTACGCTTATTATACTTTTTGATGATTGTATTATTGTAAATAACAGGTGAAATATTAAACATAGGTACTCTCACATTAATTTTATTAAATTTGAGTTTGAAATTTTCCAAGCTTACAGATAGTGATGTGCCTTCAGTTGGTTCATTTTTGAGTCGTTTTTGCCTATTTTTTTCAAGGTCTTTTTCTGATAACATTTTGAAGAGAAAAAAATCAAAATTCTTTTAGGCAACAAAAAATGCTAGTATTTTTACTTTTTATAGACAAGCAAAAACTAGAAAAAATGGAAGGTCGCAAAGTTGTTGAAAATTTTGTGAACGAAAAAAAATTTAAATTTAAATACTCACCTCATTAAATTAAAACAAAAAAAATCTTATATTTCATTTGAGATAGGCAAATTTCGTTAATGAAAAGAATATATTATTTTATAATATTTTCAGATAATTAAAACTCTGATTTATCTCTTTTGATAAATTACTCTGAAAAAAAGGAGTGATTCCCCCCCCTTGAGATTTTACATTTAAAACTTGTAATTTTGATACTTTTAAAGTAAAACTTTCTGACCAATACTGATTTTAAAATATTTTATCTACCCAGTAAACCCAATTTGTACCTAATCCCTGGGACATTTTTTCAAATCTGGGTATTTATAAGTTTATGTAACCTTGATTTATCCCTACCTGGGTCAATAGCTGGGTCGGTCAGAGATATCTGTCATATCTATATATTTAGTTTACCTGGGGACTCATAGCAGATAGGTAGTTATATGAATACAGTACAGGGGGTCACATAGTTGATAGGTAGTTATATGAATACAGTACAGGGGGTCACATAGTTGATAGGAAGTTATACGTATACAGTACAGGGGGTCACATAGTTGATAGGAAGTTATACGTATACAGTACAGGGGGTCACATAGTTGATAGGTAGTTATATGAATACAGTACAGGGGGTCACATAGTTGATAGGAAGTTATACGTATACAGTACAGGGGGTCACATAGTTGATAGGAAGTTATACGTATACAGTACAGGGGGTCACATAGTTGGTAGGTAGTTATATGTAAACAGTACATGGGGTCTCATAGTTGATAGGTAGTTATATGTAAACAGTACATGGGGTCTCAAAGCAGATAAGTGATTGGTAGTTATATATAGAACACTGTACAAAGAGTTAGCTGTTTAAATAATTTAAAAAGCATTTTCAATGCATTTTAAAATTTCATTACAAATAATTTAGTTTTTGATCATCTTTCTATGTTAAATTATTAATCTTGATATTTTGTTGATTTCTTAATAAAAATCAGTCAACAAGAAGAGATTTATGCATTTATCTTTCTGGTGG